GTTTGTTTGTTTGTTTGTTTGTTTGTTTGTTTGTTTGTTTGTTTGTTTGTTTGTTTGTTTGTTTGTTTGTTTGTTTGTTTGTTTGTTTGTTTGTTACTGGATATAAACCTTAACTCATGAATAGTTTAGTTTTAGTAGTCAGTCTGTCCACTCTGTAGTGACATCTTCTGTCCAGCAGGTGTCGACAGAACAACGTGTCTCCAGCAGAGGTTTGAGGGTTAAACGGACCATCAGGACAGGAAGTAAAAACCCAGAGACAGACTGGTCTTCAGAAGACAAAGAACAGATTAATGTGTTTAATAACCATCACAAGCAGTACTGCTCCTCAGCATCTCTTCACCGTGCGGAGAAGAAGTGACGTCATCAGCGCAGCCTCCATGTTCTGCAGTGATGTGATGAGATTCTGCGCAGTGGAGTGTTTTCCTCAGATGTAACCTGGACGGAGCTGCGGTCCTGGTTCTGGTCCCCTCAGGCGGGTTCGGGGCCAGCAGAGCGCGGGAACAGGTAGGACTGTGGTTCTGATGCTCTGATCTCTGAACGTGTTGAAGAGGGCCGCAGGATGATGAGGGTGATGAGGATGAAGGCTCCTCCGGGTGAGCGCCAATCAGAGGCTGTCTCCGTCACGTGACACACCGTGTTGCTCTGTTTCTGTCAGTAAAATATGTTTGAGTCTGAGACCAGGAGGTACCAGGAAGAACTGTCCCAGTTCGGTTTCTTTGGCTTCACATCAGAGAAAAGATGATGATGCAGATCTGCAGATGAAGATGTGTTTATGTTGGAGTTAAGGCAGCTCCACTCTACATTTTACCTGGTTATTTCACTTTAACCTCCTAGAACGTTCATTTTAAATGATAAATCAGCTCTTTACTTTGTAAACTATTAAAACAGCTGTTTTAGAAATCTCTTCTCATGGATGAAGACTTATCAACTAAAACACAAAGCTGTGGAACAGATGCTCCTAAACCTGCAAACATTATATCTTTTATTATAAGTTTTGGGCTTTTCTCTGATTATTATAATTATTTTTTTTTTTACAATTCTTAGTACTTTTCTGTGTACAGTTTTATAGATGAAACCTGTTAAATAGTACAGGCCATAAACTCTCCTGTTTAGCAATATTGTACCATACACACACGACATCAGTATTGATATAAATACATAATTCAAAGTGTTTTAACAGATTGTATATTTCTATTAAATTATAAAATGTCCTTAATATCTGGATGCATTATAAAATACAAACCTGTCAGTATTTAAACCACATGAAGATCAGAGCAGCATCACACATGGTTTTAATTCCTGTGGCAGATCTAGGATTTTTCTAGAATTGGGGTGGCTGTGGCGGAGTGGTTAGGGGAGTCGTCCTGGAACCGGAAGGTCACTGGTTCGATCCCCCTTCCAGCTGTCTCGGTTGTTGTGTCCTTGGGCAAGACACTTCACCCACCTTGCTTACTGATGGTGGTCAGAGGGTCCGGTGGCGCCTGTGTATGGCAGCCTCGCCTCTGTCAGTGTGCCCCAGGGCAGCTGTGGCTACAGTGTAGTTTGCCATCATCAGTGTTTGAATGGGTGAATGTCTGTTAGTGTAAAGTGCTTTGGGATCCAGAGGGACTTGAAAAGCGCTCTATAAGTTCAGTACCATTTTCTGAGAAAGGGCCATCAAGGGGCCACAACATTCATAGAGGGGCCAAGTATTTGTTCATCCTTGCACATAAATCCTTGGTTTTGGTAAGGTGTATAAATTTAACCGTTGACATATGTTCCAACAATTGTAACGTAATGTAATATTATTAGAAAAGCTTAAATTCTTATAAATTTTACATGCATTTTTACTACATGGATAAAATATTATAAAAGCATGTGAGAAAATGAAGCTGTTGTTTGCCAGTTGAAAGATATTTTTTGCAAAATTGTTCAAGTCTTTTAAAGAAGAGAAGAAGACTTCTGTAAGATTGACTCATTAGTGCTTCTAGCGTATGGGCGTGGAACTGTACCCATCATCATTGCTCTCAGGCAAAGGACAGATGAGTGACAGGACAGGGGCCCTTCAGGGGGCCAATCAGATTTCAGCTGGGGCCAATGCCCCAGTGGCCCCGCCCCTAGAACCGCCCCTGGTTAATTCAGAAAGGTAAAAAAAAATCCTCTCTTTTCTCTATGAAAATGAACGTGTTCATCATAATGGTAACATAGAATATTCCTTTTTGAAAATCTCTAAAAACTGAAAAATAAAACATTAATAATTTTTATTAATTGCAAGAATTTATGTTGATTTTAAAATTTACAACTGGATACTTCATTTATTGAATTAGGAGGTAGGGCTAACAAAATAGGCTCTTAGGGAAAAAACTTTTAGTAAAGATAAATCACACATAAAGACAAACTGGAAACACAACCACTCATGTTCTTGTGCACTCCCAGTACCAATTTAACATGAGTAATTAACCTAACACGTGATTTTGGCAGTCCTGGCTGTTGTTGACAAGTACCCCGGGCTGCAGTCCACGGATCGGGGCAGGGTTGGACAGTAGGCGGAGTCAGACGTACAATAGGCGTGGTCACGGCTTGTCGGAACATCTTAACATGAGGCTTGAAACATTGGGAGTGGTTAATTTCAGAATTTAGCATCTGGGGTTAGTTAATTTAGATTAGTTAATTAATGGGGTTAGCATCTGCTTTTTGCGGATGATGTGGTCCTGTTGGCTTCATCGGAACGAGATCTGCAGCTCTCGCTGGAGCGGTTCGCGGCCGAGTGCGAAGCGGCCGGGATGAGGCTCAGTGCCTCCAAATCCGAGGCCATGGTCTTGAGCCGGAAACGGGCAGAGTGCCTACTCCGGGTCAGGGGGGTCGCCCTGTCTCAAGTGGAGGAGTTTAAGTATCTGGGGATCTTGTTCACGAATGGGGGAAGAAGGGAGCGGGAGGTCGACAGGCGGATTGGCGCAGCGTCTGCTGTAAAGCGGGCGCTGTACCGGTCCGTCATGGTGAAGAGAGAGCTGAGTCAGAAAGCGAAGCTCTCGATTTACCGGTCGATCTACGTTCCTACCCTCATCTATGGTCATGAGCTTTGGGTCATGACTGAAAGAACGAGGTCCCGGATACAAGCGGCTGAAATGGGTTTCCTCCGCAGGGTGGCTGGGCTCTCCCTTAGAGAAGCTCGGTCATCCGGGAGGGACTCAGAGTAGAGCCACTGCTCCTCCACGTCGAGAGGAGCCAGTTGAGGTGGCTCGGGCATCTGGTAAGGATGCCTCCTGGACGCCTCCCTGGTGAGGTATTCCGGGCACGTCCCACCGGGAGGAGGCCCCGAGGAAGACCCAGGACACGCTGGAGGGACTATGTCTCTCGGCTGGCCTGGGAACACCTTGGAGTTCCCCCGGAGGAGCTGGAAGAAGTGGCTGGGGAGAGGGAAGTCTGGGCCTCCCTTCTGAAGCTGCTGCCCCCGCGACCCGACCCCGGATAGGCGGAAGAAAATGGATGGATGGATGGATGGATGTATGGATAGTTAATTTTAGAGTTGAGGGCGGAGTCAGACATCCAACCCCGCCTATTATTCGACCCCACCCCATTCAGCGGTCTGCAGCTGGGGTTACTCGTTGCTGAGGCAAAAGCTCAGATGTGGGAGTTCGGTGAGGCCTTGGACAAAGACTCTCGATCTGCTCAGAGGAGATTCTAACAAATCATCTGTGAGGTGGGGAAAGCAGCACTTCACAAACACTTGGTTCAGTGAAGGTGGGGTTCTGTTGATCTCAGCCAGTAATGTCTTTTCAGGCTACTGGAGAAGAGAGTCTGATGGATAGTCAAACCTCAGATTCTGGAGGAACAATGCAGGTTCTGTTCTGGCTGTGGAACACTGGACAACCTCTTCACCCTCACTAGGGTCCTATTTTTTGTGGACAGTATTTGTCGAGGTACAGTGTGGGGGGTGCTCTGTGAATATGAGATTGTGAGTCCGTTGTTAGGGTCATTTAGCACCTACACAAGTGGTGCAAGAGTTTGGTTCACATTGCCGGCAGTGTCAGATCCCTTCAAGGTGGGAGTTGGACTCCAGGGCTGCTCGTTGTCACTGATTCTGTTCTTTTATGGACAGAATTACTTATCAGGGGGTGGTGGCCTCACAAGTCGATCACTGCTATTCGCAGATGATGTGGTTCTGTTGGCGTCTTTGTACCGAGATCTTCAGCTCCATGGTCCTCAGTCAGAAAAGGGTGGGTTGCTCTCTCTGAGGTCGGGGGTGAAGTTCTGCCTCAAGTGGAGGAGTTGAAGTATCCTGAGGTCTTGTTCTCGAGTGAAGGAAGAATGGAGCGTGACATTGACAGATGAATCTTCCAAAACAGCTTTTCTGTTCATACCTTTGATTTTATTGCCTTTCAGTGGAATAATATAATAATAAACTTTTCCCTTAAAGGGTTAGATTTGAGACTAAACGAACATGAGTCAAAATATTCCGCGTTTCGAAGAAATCTTAGAGAAAATCAACTTAGTTTAAAACTCTGCCATGAAAGGCAGTGGGTGGACTGTATTTTCAAAAACAGGGATAGTCAACCCTGGACCTCGAGGTCCGCAGCCCTGCATGTTTTACTTTATTCCCTTCTCTAACACACCTGATTCAGTCAGTGAATTACCTCTTCTAACTTCTGCAGAAGCCTGAAAATTATCCATTCATTCAGATCAGGTGTGTTGGAGCAGAGAAACAAGTAAAACGTGCAGGGCTGCGGCAGGGGTGCCAGCATGGGGGG